AGCAATCTGCATCTGGACATTTACATTTTTGTTGTGTCTTGGTGCTGTTTTATGAGCTGAACTCTGCTCCCTGGAAGTGTTAAAAGCCAGAAATTAGAGTTTAAACCTCAGCTGCTCCCCAAAATGTCTCTGTTTTCATGGTCCTGTCAGTGTTTCTGTGTCCAGCAGGAGACAGAATACTGGAGCTCCCAGACTTGCCAGCAGATCAGTTTTCCTTTCTTTTTAGAAATATTCTTGAACTCACCCCAAACCAGCAGAGACAGAAGCATTTTTTTGGTCACTGTCCCACCATCAGCAGTGCTACAAGGATTTGTTTTAACATGGAAAAAACACATCCCTGGATCTTCACTGACATAACTCATTTCAGTAACCATTTCTTCACTTTTTTTTTTCATTCTCAAACAATTTTTTCCCTTTTCCTTTAATAGGAAAATTGTGCTTTATTTTTTTTTTTTTAAAGGAAAATTTCCTTTAGTAGGGAAATTGTGCTGGAAAGGCAAAGCAGCTGGACACCAGCAGGGAAGTGCAGCTCCACAATCTGCTGATTGAGGATTGATTCCTCTTCTTCTTGAGCTATTTGCACTGCTGGATTTTTGGGATATACTCCAGCTCTGGCACCAAGGAATATTTTTGCCGATGGTCACATCATGACCTACAAATTCGCCTGCAAAAGCTCTTTTTTAGCACATTAAAAGCTGAAGGTTTAGGGGCTGAATTGTAGCAAAGGCAATGATGCAAATTAAAGGCAATGCCCTGGTGGGATGTTTTTAACTTTAATTTGGGGGGAAAATGCTCATTGTGGGTGGAGGAGATCCCCAAGGCAGCTCGGAGGGACACAGCAGAGCCCAGGGCTGGTGGGAATGAGGGAAAGAACCCTGTGAGAACCCCAGGATTGGTTCAGGGGTCTCGTGTGGTGGAAAAGTCTCTCCTCCAACCTTTGCTTCCAAGGAAAAACTCCGCAGCCTCTTGTTGTTTGGTCTCAAGGCAGTTTATTGCTGGTTATCTAAAAGATTGTCTTGGCCAGCGGCCCAGGCAGACACACACACACACTGACACCCTCAGTGCCTGGTGTCTTCTTCTTCCTCCCCACCCAGGGCTGCTGCTATCTTTTATATGATATATTACGTGTTATATGTTTGCAGTTTTTCCCCAATACCTGCTACCTATGTTACAATGTGCTTTTCTACTCTAAACCAATCCATGAGTGCCAACATCACCCAGAACATGGAGGTAAGGAAGAAGGAGGAGGAAGAACAGGATCAGGCCCACTTTCCTCCATCTTAGAACTTCTGACCCCCTGTACAAAGTAAAACCCCCTGTACAGGTGTTAAACCCCCCTGTACAATACTAAAATAATTTTCCCTGTATTTTGTAACTACTTTTACTATAATATCTAACCCTCTGTGACCGCTTGTTCCACCTTCAAAGCTGGTAACTCATTCCATGGCTCAAACCCAAAATCACAGCTGTTTCCAGCTGCCTGCCAGGGTCTCAAATGCTTCTGAGCAGGGCCTGGAACATCCAAAAATGTCTGAGGGGCATTTTGAGTTCCAACAGAGCCCAAAAAATCAGTGCCAGAGCGGCCCTTGGCTGCCCTAATGTCTGCCAGGGGCCGGAGCTGCTCCAGGATTCCAGTGTCCCACCCAGGGAAAGGGTCAGGAATGGAAAGGTGTCGAATCCTGACAACATCTGAAGCTGCTTCTCCTTCTCAAGCCTGGGCAGTCCATCGTGGTAAAAAGCTGATTTTAAAAAGTGAGTTTTTAAGTGCCACCCTGACTGAAGAATATTTTGTCAAAGTACAAATACTTCTTTCTTTCTATATAGAAAGAAAAGCAGAATATAGTGTAACCAGCAGCTCTAAATTAACAAACCCAAAGGAATAATACACAGGAACTCTGCAGTTTTTGAATAAAAATGTTCCTCCACAAGGGAGCAAACCTTGCTGTACTTCACTGCTTTTATTGTATATATAGATTAGTAAAAATATGTAAAATATATTACATTTTTGAACTTATATTAGTATTTACTAATATTTCTTAGTTAAAAATATGTAAAAAATATAAAATGTATTTACTAACACCCCGTTTCCTTTCTGGATATTATAACTCCATATAATAATATCCAATAATATCCAAAACAAGCTTTGCTCTTGCTAAGTCGTGAAGGAAGACAGCAGAGCTGTCCAAGTGTCTGTGGGCCAAATCTTTGATTCCTCCTCTCATCCAAAGCACTTCAGCCAACTCCCATCAAAAACCCCCTTCCGACCTGTCTCTTGCAAAAGTCAGCACAGCAGCTGAAAGATTATTATAAAATATCCTCGCAGCAGAGAGCTGCTTCTTTGTTAATCCATCTATTCCATTTGGCTAAACCCCAGGATTAATGGGTGTTTTTCTGTGTGCAACACAAATCTTTGCAGCTTTACATAACATTTGGTTTCTTACAGGAGGGAGATAGGGCTATGAAAAGGTATTTGCAGGAGCTCCTTTCACCTAAGTGTACATTTAGTAAATAAATTTTATCTATTTTATATATCTTTTTATTAATATATTAGGAAAAGCATTCAGATCAATTCACATTATTCCTCAAAAGAGGTGTTTAAGATAAGCTGAGAATTAAACATTTTCTAATTGCATAATGAGGTGCAAAATTCACAAATTGTGAATTGTAAACAAAATGTGAACCCCTTGTAAAACAAATCTATCTGTTGCTTGAAGGATAGGAAGGTGAGCAGAGCCTAATTCCCACCTTTATATTTGCATTATTATTTTCCAAGCTAAAAAATATGCAAAAAATATCAAAGAAGCAGAGCTTTGTTCTGTAGCATCACATGAAGTTCTGAACAGCACCATACCATGAGAATTTGTGTTTTATGCATAATTTATTCTGTTGTAGGCACCTACAGTAAAAAAAAAAACTGTAAAAAAAAACCTGATTTAGTAAAAAAACTGATTTAGAATCAAAATATCCAATTGTTGGGGTTTTTTTTAAAGACAGCCCAGTGACACCGGATCAAGGATTCAAAATTGGTCTTCTGAGTGTTTCTGCACTGTGATCCTGAGGTAAAATCAAACAGCAATTATTCCTCTGAAAGCAAAGCAGTTTAATTAGATTACAGTACACAAAATGCACTTGATTCATCTCTGGTGATGTTTACAATGAAATCACAATATAAATTATTCCTTGTATGATACCAGATCAAAAGACCACCAAAGGATTGTCTTCCTTCATAACTTAGCAAGAGCAAAGTTTGTTTTGGATATTATTATATGGAGTTACACAGAAAGGAAATGGAGTGTTAGTAAATAAATTTTATATTTTTTACATATTTTAACTAATAAATATTAGTAAATACTAATATAAGTGTAAAAATGTAATATATTTTACATATTTTTTACATATTTTTACTAATCTATATATATAATAAAAGCAGCAAAGTACAGCAAGGTGATTTTTGGGCTGGATTTGGAGGAAGATTCTCCAGGAATAGAATTTAATAGGAAAATTGTATGCTTTTTTTAAAGGAAAATTTAGGCCAGGACATGCTGCCTTTCCCATTCCATCCTTCCCAGACCACACCACGGGGCGGGATGGGCACGTCTGGGGTAACAAAAACATGGAAAAGGTGGTGATGGAAAGGGCACTGATGGAATAAAAGGGTTTTCTTTCCTTTCATAAAATTCCAGGCTGGGTCTTACACAGGGGGGATTTTTTACCATCATATTCTGACAAGTTCTGAGCACTGGGCAGGAATGGAGCACATAGTACCAGAGTCCAATTTCATTATTCATCACAGAATTTCCCTCGTCCTCTGGGAAATGTCCAGAGATAAAACACACATAGTCTGAAAAATCAAATTCTCTCTCCTGATACTCCTCGGTCTCTGAGGGATTGGTGACTTCATTTTCACACTTGGGAAAAGCATCCCCTGTTATAACTTTGATTTTTCTCAACAAGTGTCATGGAAAATTATAATGAGCTCCATCAGCATGGAAGACTTTACAGGGCTCATTTTCAATCATTAAAATGAGTAGAGACTATATGCAGGGTCAGGGCAGTATATATATATATGTGTGTGTACATATATATATCATAATTCTTCTAGTTACTGCACAAAGGCATTATTTTCCAGGTAAAATTTCAGAAGTAGGAACAAAATTACCATCCCCTCTGCTCTGCAAGTGTTTCTCTCTGTTGCTTTTAATACTGTTTCTCTTATTTCAATAAAAAATTTAAAGTGTCTGTAGCAGCTGCTTTTTTTTTTTGGTTTTTTGGGGTTTTTGTTTTTTTGGTTTTTTTCTTCCTAAAATTCTGGAAGACTGGGAGGAAGGGGGGTTACTCTAGGCAAATGCAAAGTGTGAGGAGAGGAAAGATTGAGGTGTAATTTTCAGCTTCACGATGCAAATAAATGCCAAGTGTAATGAGGGGAAGGATTAAACTTCATTTTTGACTCCATGATGGGAGCAGACGCAAACTTTAGTGAAAGATTAAATGAGGGGAAGGATTAAACTTGATTTTTGACTCCGTGATGGGGGCAGACGCAAACTTTAACGAGGGAAAGGATTAAACTATTAACTTTGGGCTCTGTGAGGGGAGTGAATGCAAAGTGTGGCGAGGAGAGCGATTCAAGCGCCAACTCTCGGCTCCATGAGGGGAGTGAATGCCAAGCCTGGCGAGCGGAAGGTTTAAACTGCTCCATGAGGGGAGCGAAATGAAAGCGCTGCTGGGAAAAGGATTAAAATACAAATTTTGGTCCGATCGCGGCAGCAGCGCAGGCGCGGGGCGCCCTCACCCCGCAGCGCCCAAGATGGCGGCGGCGCTGAGGCGGCTCCTCCTTCCCTCCCCGTGCCCGCGCTGCGTCACCGCTCCCGCCCTCTCCCCGCCCGCCGCCATTGGCCGCGGGGCGCGCGCGGCGCGGCCAATGGGCGGCGGCGCCCAGAGCGAGGCTCCCCCTTCTCCCCCCCTCGCTCGGCCCGTCCCTTCCCCCGCTCGGCGGCACCGGCGCGTTCGGGCCGCCGGCACCGGCACCGGCCCGGCCCGCTCAGCCGCCCCGCTCCGGGCCGCGCTCCGCTCCGCGCCGGCCCGCTCCGACCCCGCCCCGCCACCCGGCCCTTCCCGGCTCGCTGAGGCCGACAGCGGGCCCGCCGGGCCCCCGGCGCGCTACGGGCCCGGGCGGAGGCGGAGGGGCCGCGCTCCTCCCTGGCCGCCCCCCGCCATGGCCGACAGCGAGAAGCTGGACAACCAGCGCCTCAAGAACTTCAAGAACAAAGGCCGCGACCTGGAGGTGAGCGCGGCGGGGCCCTGAGCCGCGGGGAGGCGGCAGCGGCGAGGGAGGGAGGAAGGGAGGAAGGAAGGAGCCGCCGAGGCCGCGCTGAGGGCCGGGCGCGGCCGGGCCCGCGGGCTCCCGGCGAGGGGCAGCGGCCGCGCCCGACCGGGCCGGGCCGGCTCCACTCCGGCTCCGCTCCGGGCCGGCTCCGGCTCCGCTCCGGGCCCGCTCCGCTCCGGGCCCGCTCCGCTCCGGGCCCGTTCCGCTCCGGCTCCGCTCCGCTCCGGCTCCGCTCCGCGCTTGGCCCGGTCTGGCTCCGCTCCGCGCTTGGCCCGGTCTGGCTCCGCTCCGCTCCGGGCCGGCTCCGCTCCGGGCCCGCTCCGGGCCAGCTCCGGGGCTCCTCCCGGGTGCCTCGCCCGCCGGGGCCCGGCCCGGCCCTGCCCCAGCGGCCCCGCTCCGGGGTGGGCTCGGCGGAATCGCTGCCGGAACAATTCTTCTCCCAGCAGCTCCTAAAAGCCTGAGTCAGGATTAGGGCCCTGTTCTGCTGCGTGTTTCCAGGATACCTAATTAAATAAATAACGCCGTAACTTTCATAGCGAGATTATTTTTTTAAAAAACTCTTCTTTTTAAATTTTTTTTTCTTTTTTTTTTTTTGTATTTCTCTTTTCTGCTCAAGCCGTTCTGCCTTGTAGCCCCTGAACGCTGAACTTTTTGGTGGTTCAATTATTCGAGCTCTGTAGGTGCTTCCTAAACACAGCACGATACGTAATTAACCTGGGGTTTCCTTAGGAAATAAGCAAATTTTAAAGTTAGGTATCAATCCTCACCTTTAAACACTCGTCCAGGAGTGCTGGTTGGAGCTTAAAATTGTCTGTTCAGGGTTCTGGATGAGAATCTTGGCATTCTCGTGGCTGTCTTTTGCTAGCTTCAAAGTGTCCCTTGTGCTTTCCATAATATTCCTGTTTTATATATGAAGACATTACAATGTTTCAAAAGTGAAAACTCCTTTATATTCCCTGCATTGATTTAAACATTAGCAAAGTTTCCCAGAAGTCTGTAACACCTGGATTTTTAACCTGCCCTGCTCCCTATTTTTAAACTTGATAAAACAGTTTATTACTCAGTTATGCCCAAACTTTTGGCAAAAATATTGTGAGTGAGGATAATTAATTGCTCTGCTTGGTAACAGTGTTGTGAGGTTGGTTGGCAACCCCTCGCCTTAGATACTAATTTATTTTTATATCAATTTTGTTACCACTGAATCGGCAGCTACAGGAAGGCATCTTTAGGAATGCACACAGAATGTTCCATTTCAGTGAAAAATGGGATTCATGAGCAGACACAGGCTGGAATTCAGGTGCTTTGGTGCAGAATTTCAAGGGGAAAGGGCTGAAGTAAGGAAGGTTCAAGATGGACACGCAGGTAACACCACGTGGGAGTGTGTCAGAAGGCAGGCAAGCTCTTCAATCTTTCTTTTTTTTTTATTTGCTGCAGCACTGAAATGCCTTTTTCCACAGCCCAAACCCACTGCTGGGCCGTGTTAAATTTTAGAGAGTGACATTTATCCAGCAAATCCTGGAGCACATGCCTGCTCCCTAAAATAACCACGGTGCAGGGCTATTTTTCATACAATAGCTCAGGCTTCTGGCTGTCCCTGCTGCTCATTAACTGCTTACACATCACACTGGGCATCAGGCTGAGGGAGCTGCTGCTGCCCACTCCCACCCAACCTCCAAAATCCAGTTTACAGGGCTGTTTGGGCAGAAATTTGTGTATTTATTTGGCAGAGGAAACCAACATTTGATCTTTATCTCCTTCACTCCTCCCCCTTTTTATCTGCGCTGAAATTCTCGTTGGCCCTGGGTTGTTTTTACAAAAACATCATTTTTTTTTTTTTTTTTACATTTTCCATGACAGTTTACCCCTAGAGAAATGAGAAATCACCCCAATTTTGGTGAATGCCAAATGGAGAGGTTATGAAAGGTTTCCATGTTGTGAATTGCAAGCAAACTTCCTAAAAATGTTATCTCTTAATTCCATGTGCTCAGATCAGTCCATTGACAGTTACAGTTCCTGTCACACTGCCCTTGCTTCCAGGTTTTACATATTCACAGGAAGTTCTGCTATTTCTGACCAAAACCAGGGAAATTCCTATATTTTATCCCTTAAAGTACCAAACATTTTTCACCTTTTTGGCTACTCTAGTTATTTGTTTTCTTTCCCCCAATATGCTCCTAAAAATACAAATTCTGGCCTGGAAAAAAACAAAAAAAAGGCAAACCCCAGCACAAGCGCCTGTTTTACATAAGGTGTTTGACAAAATTCCTTCATATGCTGAAGTCTTGGGTAAACATTTCCTGCACGGGCATGTTGTAAATAATTGCTGCCATGTGTTTGGGGATGGCAGATTGGTGGTGCCACTGGGAATTGAGGGATTCCCTGGGACCAGAAATCCCCAAGAATTCCTTGTCCTGTCCCTGGTTTCTGCTCCTGCTCAAAAGAATATATGTAATAAAGTTTTTAATAGTGAGGGAGCAGTAATTTGGAGCTGAGGCAGCATCTCTGGGGGGAATTTTAAGATTTCTGGTCAGTGCTTGCAACATTTTTTTAGGGTCTTCAAGATTTTAGAGCTGTGGGGGAAAAATTAAATTGGTTCAGCACAAAGAGGAACCTTAAAAACTGCAGAAGTGGCCACAGTTTTTAACCTCCAACCCCAGAGTCTGAATTGAAGAAGGGCTTATCTGGACTCACATTAAATTATGCAAATACTGATCCATTAGGGAGCAGGGTAAGGTGACTTTTTTCATCTTGTCTTCAGTGAGGAACAGGTTTTACTTGAGTTTTTTTTTCCCTTGGATGAGAATTGTGCTGGTTTTTACTGGTTGTTGTGGGGATGTCTGTGCTGACACCCAGCCAACCTTTGTTTTTAATGGTAATACCACAGATCTTGGAGTTAAATTCCAGATCTTTACTATACAAAGACCAGGTGAGTGCAGATTGATCACTGTGGCTGTGCTAGAGTTTTATGGACAAATTAAGTTTAAATAATGCCTTTTTACTCCTGCATTTAGGGGTCTTGATTTGGGAAGCTTTGCAGAGTTTTGGGATGTTTTATTTGCTTCATTTTCTTTCACCTGGTGATTCAACATTTCATCTTCTCTTGGTGATTGTTGCCTGTTGCAGCATTGCAATCTGACTGACATTTAAGAGGGTTTTTTTTTAATTAAATAAAAAATATTTTCTGGATTTTATTTCTCTGGAAATACTGGAGGAATCTGCTAAATCTTTTCTCACCTGTGTTGCTGGGCAGGAGATTAAGGATTGCTTGAACAGTGCCAGCACAGAGAGGTGTTAAATTGTGATTTCTGCTCCTCAATTGAGAGATGCATGAAGGGAAACTATGAGAATTCCGTGATGCAGGGCACTTCAAAACTAATTTTGGAGCAGCCATTGCATCAAGATGCTTGAAGATCAGTCATGTCAGGATTTTAAGAGTTGCCAGCATCATTCAATGGACTTCCAAAATACCAATATATTTGGGAGCACCAGGGAAGCTCCAGGGGAGTGCAGGAAAGGTGGTGGTGTGGGATATATTGAATATTGCAGGTACTTTGAAGCTTTTCAGCCCTTTCTGTATCCCACACAAAATAGTCTGCTTGGGATTAAATATGGAAGAACTGAAGGAGAGCAGGAATTTCACTCAGTGAGATAAAAATAGGTTCCTTTAAGCTGACTTGGAGTTCTGTGGTGAAGCTCATCCATCTTGTCACTTTGAAATGATACTGAGATATTTGTTTAAGGCATTTTCTCTGCCATGCACAGCTTCTCCAGGAAAAATGGGCCTGGTGGCACATGTAATGTCATATTGATTTTTATTTTTTATCTGGAACTCAGACTGCCATTTTCATTCTGAAGTTGCTGAGATGTGACTTCTGGGGGTATCTTGGGTTGGCTTTATGATCCCAAAGCGTTTTTATCAGTGATACTGAGAGCAGATTTCATTGCTCCACTTTGGAATTGAGATGGGATTTGTCTAGGAGAATAATGGATGGAGGAGGGCCTGAATCACTGGATATAACTGAGGAAAACTAGTCTGGTTTCAGCTGTCTGTTCCCTGTGGGGTGTGTTTTGTTTTTATTTGGAGTCCCAGACCACACTGGTGCTGGTAGCAACTTCCTGGGAAGGAAGGAAGGATGGATGGCACAACCAACTCATTTTTTATTTACTGTTGACTTTGCAGTTCCCAACAGAAACAATGTGCCTTGGAGACCATTCCCTGGGAGAATGAGAGCAGCAGCCAGAGTTCTGCAGTTCCTCCTGTGCTGTCAGACCTCCCTGCTGGAGGTGCAGAAATGGAGTGGAACATTTCAGAGCAGCAAAAAATCCCCACCCCACCCAGGAGTGAGCACAGGCTGAGTTCCTGATCCCTTCATGGAAAGGATCCCATGCCAGGATCCCCCTGCCAGGAGTGTTTAGGAAGGGCTGGTGCATCCCAGAATGTCCCAGGATCCTGCAGGCATCACTGCCACGAGATTTTAATGATAAACTGAAGGGCTCAGTTATGACTAAGGGTCAGAAATAACCCTTATGATAAATCTGAAGCTAAATATAATTGAAAAAAGGGGGATGGAGGGATGACCATGGTAGGCCGACAGAAATAGACCGGCTGGTTTGATTTTTGATGTACAAATGACAAACAGGATCCAGTGACTGAGAGAGCCACGTGAATTCCTGACAGAGTGGTGTGTGTTCTTCAACTGGAGCCCTTCCCAGGCCTTCTGAGCTCTGCTGTAAAGCCCTTTCTGGTGAGAGTGGTTTCCTGTGGTGGTGTGAGCTGGAGCTGACTCACAGAGCTCAGATCTGCCCCAGAACAGAAGGAATAACTCCCCACGTGCCATGACCACCATCCCTCATCTCTGCCCTTTGAGCTGTTTGTTCTCCAAAAGCTGCACGAGTCCACCTTGGCTCTGTTTGGCATTTTACTTTCTCTGAACTATTCCACCTCTGGCTGGGCTGGTGGCACTGGGAAATGCCATGGCAGAGCTGGCTGCAGTTCTCATTTGTGCTGCTGTTCCTCCTCCTCAGAGGATGAGCAGTGCCAGGTTGACCTGTAACTATTCTGTCAACAGACTGTGTTTACACAGAGAGTGATTTTAGTGGAGCCAGGGGTTGGTAAATCGTGTTTCAGAGTGACTTCACTGCTGGCTTGTCTTTCATGTGAAGGCTTTTGTGATTCCAAGGTGTGCAGGCAGGAATTCAGGAATTCCTGACAGCTTGTGCCAGGAGGGAGAACATTCTTCTTGTCCTGGCAGAGGATCCTTTAAAGTCTGATCACCTGCAGATAGGATTTTTTAAGTAAAGGATTTTCTAAATTACCCATCTGAGGCTTTTTTTTTTGTTTTTGTAATATTTGTTTTGTCCCACTCAATTGTCTGTGTGGCAGCAGCAGCAGCTTTGCTGTGAGCAGCAGTGTCTCCCCTGGGGTCTGGGAAGAGCCACCCCTGTCCCAGGGCAGCTTTTGGGTGGGAATGCTGATTTTGCTGCCTGAGCTTTGGGAAGGTGTTAAAAGCCCTGTGAGATCATCAGGGGCGTGGTACAGTTCTGCAATCTGATTATCAGAGGCTTTCCTCACGTTATTTTCATTTTGGATATGCCAGATCAGTAGAGTTTGGAGAAACTCCAGTGAGCATTTGAGAGCAGGAGCCTGAAGCACCTCAGTCAGGTGGAAAGCTGCAGCATCTTTGCAAAGCCTGGAAGTGCTGGGTGGGATCCAGCAGGGAATCAGCTTCTCCTGGAGTTCAGAAAAACATCCCTGGAGTGCTTCCTGCCTTCTCCAGAGCTGCATCCACTGCCCTGGGGGCTGGGCATCGCTGGGGAATCCCAGGCTGGGGGATATTACCACATCCCTGATGATCTCACAGGGCTTTTAACACCTTCCCAAAGCTCAGGCAGCAAAATCAGCATTTTGCTGATTTTTGGGACTCTCCCCCATCCCAAAAGCTGCCCTGGGACAGAGGTGGCTCTTCCCAGACCCCAGGGGAGACAGTGCTGCTCACAGCAAAGCTGCTGCTAACACAGAGACAATTGAGTGGGACAAAACAAATATTACAACAAAAAAAAAAAAGCCTCAGCTCCTCTCCTCTGGCTCTCCCAGGCTGCTGAGCTGCTCCTGGCACTTGGCCTTTCCCAGGGCAGGAAGCTGTCACTGGGGGAAGTTGCATTTTCCCCTCAGCCCCTGCACAGTTCTGCTCCCAAAGCAGCAGGGAACCATCCCTGCTTTGCCACTTCTTCCTGTCCTTAACCTTTGGGGAGCTGCAGTGCTCCACTGAAATCCGATCTGGTGAGCTGCACCTTCTTTTTGATAAGATAATGATGCTTTGGAAGTGAGGTTTGATGCTTATCTTCAGCTCTCCTGGCTGTTCAGGAGGTTCCTTCCAGCTTTCCCTTGGCTTGGCACAATAAAAATGGAATTGTTTGGAATTTTGCTGTTCTCATTCGCTGTGGAGTTCAGAGTGTTCAAATAAAATCACTCCAGACTGATTTATTTCTCTGTTTTCACTGCAGTAGCACAAGCAGCAATAAACCCATTTATGTATATTTACAGTTGATTTGTTTCCCTGAGTACTGTCAATGGCAGCTGAAGAGAAAATGACAAAAAAATACTGCTCTTAAATGCCAAAGGTTTTCATTTATAATTAATTGTTCCAGAACTCAGCTTTGCTTGCAGAGTCTCTTAATTTGAGCTTGTTTATAAAGTTATTTTACTGTTAGACTGCCATGGTCTTTATAATGCTTTTGATGCTGTTTTTTACAACTCCTTTCCATTCTGCCCTTTAAAAAACATGGTTTATTCCTAATTCCTTCTTTCCTCTAAATGAAGACTTAGAAGAAGGTTTTACTATAAAATAACAAAAATAATGCAGTTATTTCCATTTCCTGTAGGATCTCTATTTTTATAATGAAAATTAAACCCTGTGTGTAAAAGTTGTGTTTAAAGTGCATGAACTGAAATAGTTGTACAAGAACTTTTTAAATTTATCTAAATTCAGATTATCATTTTTTTATCTTTATTCTTTCCAGACTATGAGAAGACAAAGAAATGAAGTTGTTGTGGAGTTGAGAAAGGTGAGATGTCCCACAGTTTTTGGTTTTATTTTATATTATTTTTCTTTTATTTTATATTATGATTCTCACCAAGTGGGATTTGACTTTGTTGTTACTCTGATAGAATGTAAGAGTTTTCATTAAAGACTCAAAAGTTTTGAAGTTATGGGAGTTCCACAACTTCTGTCCTGAAAACCAGGAGTTTATTTGTAACCCAATTAAGGGACTCAATCTTGCACTTCCAGAGGTTTTTAAAGATTTGGTTTTTCCTTTGAAAATCAGCTGTTCCTGTTCCTCTGCAGGCAGAAAATTATTTCCTTAAAAGTAAATGTGGAAGAGTGTGTAGGTAAAACTGGAATTGTTGGAAAAAAGGAATCACAACTGGAATTATTTTTCTTTTGAACTTCTGGGAATTGCTGTGTCCTGCTAGAAATGATGACAAATAAGCTGGATTGTTGATGGATGTGTGCACATCAAACTTCCAGCACAAGTTGGATGCAGGATTTTTTAGGAGGAATTCCAAAAATGTGCTTTTCTGTGCAGTCCTTCCCAACTTTTTAGGAAGATTTAAGTGTCAGTCAGAGTGTATTTATGATTGTTTAAAACTGAAGTTTCTCTTCGCTTCTTAACACCCCTCCCTAAATCCAAGTTTTAAAGGTATTCCATCATTTTCTCTTTAAGAACAAAAGAGATGAGCATCTCCTAAAGAGAAGGAATGTTCCCCATGAAGATATCTGTGAGGATTCTGATATAGATGGGGACTTCAGAGTGGTAAGAATTTACTTGCAATAATTTCTTCTTTTTACATCCTTAAAAGACATTTGGAATTTCTAACTGCTTCTTGTCTCTGTTTTCTAGCAAAACACTTCTTTGGAGGCAATAGTACAGGTAAAACCAATTAAATTGTTTGAATATTCTTCATAGCATGATGCCAGATGTGTGAAAAATCTATTTTCTCTTATTTTAGAATGCTTCAAGTGACAACCAGGGTATTCAGTTAAGTGCTGTGCAGGCAGCAAGGTAAGAACACACTTTGCTTAAATATCCTGATTTTATTCTTATTTTATCATGCTCTTAATGTCAGAAAATGTGTTCTAGCTTAACTGAAATTGTACTAATGAAGTGATTTTTAAAAGGAAAATAGAACTGTAGAAAAATCAGAATGCACAGACCTTTTAAGTAGTGTGGATTTTCTTTACATGTAAATACGTGGATTTGTGTTGGTGCAAACTTGATGGTTCTTACAGAATAAAATACACACTTTAAAGGGCTGTAAAATCTTTGGCTTCAAGTGCAGAAAAGCTGAGTGTCTCCTTTTGTAGGAGTTGGAGCTGAATAACTCTTATCTCTTATTTTCCTGGCTGGTGATAAACTTCCAGAGAGCAGAAAGCATGGAATGAAATGGCCAATGGATGTAATGGCTTTGCTTTTCCAGTGGCTCAATCATTTCACTTTGGGGGATTATTTTCACTTGGAGAGGAAGAAACAAATCCTGTGGATCTGTGGGAGGAGGAGAGAAACCCTTGGGAAGGAATTCCCAGCCCAGCAGGAGCAGTTCAGGGCTCCGTTGGAGATTCCCAAACTCAACCCTGGGAAGCCTTTCCTGACCTGCTCCAGTGGCAGCACTGCTCCCTTTTTGAGGAGAAGGTTGGATTAAACAGCTCCCTGGTTTTTCAGACCTTTCCAGGTCTGTAACTTGATTTTTTTGTCCATTTCCCTGCAGGAAGCTGCTGTCCAGTGACCGCAATCCACCCATCGATGACCTAATAAAATCAGGAATATTACCTATCTTAGTGCACTGTCTTGAAAGAGATGACAAGTGAGTACTGCCAAAACTCAACATCCTGCACCAGTTCTTGCCCTTTAGCTGATGTGGCCCAGATGTGAGTAATAACAACTGTGCTTTTCCTTTCTCTGCAGTCCTTCCTTACAGTTTGAAGCTGCGTGGGCTCTGACAAACATTGCCTCTGGCACCTCGGAGCAAACCCAGGCTGTAGTTCAATCCAGTGAGTCCTGAGGGGGGATTGCTTCCATCCACATCTGGCATTTGCTTGGCATCAGCCAAGGAGCTGCTGCCAGGTGTTCACCTCACACACCTGGTTTGGGCTTCATTTCCTCAGGGTTTAAACCCATTTGGGTTTCCTGATGGTGAGCAGCAGCTGGGAAGTCAAAATATCTTGGAAGAGTTGAAATCTGCTGGCTTCCACGTTTCAAACTTTGAAAAAAAGAAAAAAAGCCACCAAAAGTCACCAAAAAACTTGAAATAAAGCCAAACAACCCCTCTGAAAAACTCCCTGTTGTGAAGAGGGAAGAATATTCACAGACCAGAGGCTGCCTGACACTGAGCTCTTCCAAAACTAATCTGAATTACAAAACCTGTCCTTCCTATTCTGAGGCATCTAAAAGTGGGAAGGAATTGTTGGTGGAATCTGAGCTACCAGGCAAACAAAACTTTGTTCTGGACTCCAAGCATGTCCTGAAGCAGAGCTTCCGTTGCTAAATCAAAACTGAGTGGGCAGGGTTTTCATTGAGTGAACAAACCAGAGCTTCTTGAAGAATCAAAGATACAGTGAAATGAGTTTTTCCTAAGATTTAAGGAAAAAAATACAGAAAAATTATGTTGGCTGCAAGATCAGTTGCTTCTGCTTTTGGAAACTCAGTGTTAAGAGCCTGTGAACTTTGATGTAATTTGATTTTCACTCTTACAGGATGTCCCTTTGGTAATACTTTCACCTTTTTCTCCATCCTCTTCTTTTCCCAGTTGCAACCTGAGTTTTCTTTGGGAAATCTAATTAATAGATAATCTGTCCCACCCCGATCTAGCACACTTTAATTTATCAATGGATTGAGCACTTTTTCAGTGTAGGTCTGTATTGCACTCTGTTAGTTAATTTAGTAGCTGTGACATATGAAATTATGATTGATTTCAATTTAAATTATGCTTTTTTTGTCATTTTTCCATGAGAAATTATTAATTTGCTTGCTGGAGATGTTTTTTCTCCTTGCATACAGACACTGTAAATACCTTTATTTAGCAGGAAATAAGAATCCTGCTGATTAGTTGTTACTCTAGTAAACACACGGTTTACATTAAGAAAAAATCTAGCTAAAAATTTCAATTTTCTCTTGATATATATGAAATAAACGAGTTCCTTTCAGACTGGGCTATTGTGTAAGCAAGCACCTCAGTGCTGGGGGAGAATAAAACAGGATCAATTATGTCAGTGTGGATTCCTTTCCTGCCCTCTTCCTACATTCCCACTCCTCAATTCCCACTCCATTCCTGCTTATTCTCCAGTTGCTTCACTGGAGTGCCTGAGTTTGGTCTCTCTTGATCCTTTGCACTTGGGGCTGCTGCATAACTTAGCAGAGAATTCTGAATTCAATAAATGTAACTAAATTTGGATCCTGACAAGCTTCAGTAAACTTGAGACTTGCAAACAAATTAAATGTCAGGAGTTTAATATTCTCCAGTGCAGGCTCTGTAAGAATATGCAGCAGAGGAAGAATCATTGCAGTGCTTTATTTTAGCATCACCTGGGAAATTAGTGAAGCTTTGACCAGGAGAGTTAATTCTGTGAATTATTTGCTCTTTTGAGATGCATTTTTAACCATTTTTCTGGGGTTTGTTTGTACTTTTCAGATGCTGTGCCGCTTTTCCTGAGACTGCTGCATTCACCTCATCAAAATGTTTGTGAGCAAGCAGTGTGGGCTTTAGGAAATATCATAGGTGGGTGTTCTTCCTGCCACCACCACCCTCTGGGCATGTTTTATTATTATTATTATTATTTTTTATTATTATTGTTACTCCTGCCACCACCACCCTCTGGGGATATTTTATTAATTATTGTTACTCCTGCCACCCCAACCCTCTGGGGATGTTTTGTTATTGTTCCTTCTGCCATCACCAACTTCTGAGGATGTTTTATTATTGTTTGGAGATTTTGTCAAGGAATCCTCAGGAATATGTTGGGCTCTCGCTGTCCTTGGTGGTCTGGTGTTGTCTGCCACCCCTTTCCCTTACCCACCACCATAAATCTGTAAATCATGGGTTGTTTGCTGGTAAAATCTGTAAATTTTAACAGAACAGAAATCTAAACAATGGGATGGATGTTTGCTGGTCAGATCTCTAAATGATGGGCTGGGATGTTTCCTGTTAAAATCTGTCAAGGCTGGGATGATTTCTGTTAAAATCTGTCAAGGCTGGGATGATTTCTGTTAAAATCTGTCAAGGCTGGGATGTTTGCTGTTAAAATCTGTCAAGGCTGGGATGATTTCTGTTAAAATCTCTAAATGCTGGGATGTTTTGCTGTTAAAATCTCTAAATGCTGGGATGTTTTGCTGTTAAAATCTCTAAATGCTGGGATGATTTCTGTTCACACACCGCTGTTTGTGTCCCACAGGTGATGGACCCCAGTGTAGAGATTATGTCATTAGTCTTGGAGTAGTGAAGCCCCTGCTGTCCTTCATCAGCCCCTCCATCCCCATCACCTTCCTCAGGAACGTCACCTGGGTCATGGTCAACCTGTGCCGCCACAAAGACCCCCCTCCACCGATGGAAACCATCCAGGAGGTGATGGGATGGCTGTGCAGGGGGCTGGGTTCCAGCTGGGCCTGGGGCTGCTCCCAAAATAACCCTCAGGTGTTTCTTTCCCCCTCAGATCCTGCCGGCGCTCTGCGTTTTAATTCACCACACGGATGTAAATGTGAGTGACCCCTCTTAACAGCTCCTCCCGTGTTTTTTTAGCTGAAATGTAAAGTAAAATTTAAACCTGTGATGTTCCCTTTGATTAGGACAAACTTCTTCAGATATCTATTAACTGCTTATTTTTAAATATTGATGTTATTTTTAAATAGTGATTTTTTTTTCCCCTTGGTATTTCTGTCTTAGTAAGTGTTTATTTGCATGTACTTTCCCTGCACTTATAACTGAAACTGCTTTCTATTTTTATTCCTGTGAGCATTCATTCACAGAGAAATACAGGAAATTTCTGCTTAGCACTTAAATTTGTAATGAAAATCAGTGTGAATGAATGAAAAATCAGTGTATGCTGCACATGTCAAATGTCAGGGTTAGATGTAAATTCTGAGGTGTTAAATAAGAAATTTTATTTAAAAGTGAAGTAAATGAGCAAAACTTCATTGAAATTATGGAATGAGTCAGCTTTTTGTCTGAACATAAATCAGAATTTAAGACTAATTCTTTGCTTCCAAAAGAAGTTGTAGCTGAGTTAATGGCAACAGTGCTCTACAAAAAAAAAAAAAAAATCTGTATTAACTTTACTGTTCATATACTAATGATGTGATATAATTTCTTGTCTCTAAGGAGGTGAAATAAAGTTTGTTAGAATTTTGGAAACTCCTCTATTGGTGAGCCAGCTGAAACAACATTCACTCAATATTTTTGCCAGCTGTCAGCTGAAATATTCACATTTCCTGCTGCTTTTGTGCATGTGCTGCACACACCCACGAGTGGCAGGGAGCTGTCAGTGTATCCCTAAGTGTTCCCTGTCCTGGAGCTGTTCTGTGCTGCTGACAGAGCTGCTTTTGCCTGCAGATTTTGGTGGACACAGTCTGGGCTCTCTCCTACCTGACGGATGCTGGCAACGAGCAGATCCAGATGGTGATCGACTCCGGGATCGTCCCGCACCTGGTGCCTCTCCTCAGCCACCAGGAGGTCAAAGTCCAGGTCAGTTTGGACCCCCAAAATGTGCTGCTGCAGAAAATGCTTTCCTTTTATAGCTCTGCTGTGGTTTGATTTTGGTGTAATGTTCATTTTTCTGTTCACGCTTCTCAATCTCGTAGCATCACTGTAGCAGGTCTTAAACTCTTAAAAAAAATTAAAATCTTAACTCTTAAAATTCCACCTCCCACAACTAAACACTATTCTCTTTCTGATTTTACTTTCTCTTCTACAAACACAATTTCTATCTCTTTCACTCTTCTAAAAAAAAAAAACAAACAAACAAACAAAAAACTTTTCAATTTCTTTTTACTTTTCTACCTACAAAAATCAACCTAATTCCAATCCCTTCACACCCTAAACCTACTTCTAAACTACATCATTTCCACTCCCCCACCCAATCTATAACTAAACAAAAAAGAATTTACACTCTTCTACTAACCAAAACAAAAAAAATTGCCCTAAAAATTCTCTACTTTTAACCCCCTATATTCTCAAAAATATATCCAATAATCACTCCAAACATTAATATCTAAATCTAACCACTAATTAGTTTAACCCTAACTTCATAAAAAACTCACTTCTTTATCGAACCAAAACAAGCCCCATTGAAATTTAACAAATATTTTTTCCTGCAGCATTTGCATAAAGCCTTTGAGGTGCTGAGCTTTGCTGCAGGAGTTTTTTTTGAAAGGAAATATTTTGTTTTCAGACTGCTGCCCTGAGGGCTGTGGGGAACATCGTCACTGGCACCGATGAGCAGACACAGGTGGTTCTCAACTGTGAAGCTCTCTCACATTTCCCAGCACTTCTGACACATCCCAAAGAAAAAATTAATAAGGTGAGCAGCACCAGGGGTTTTACCCTGTTGAGAACTTTTAGATTTGACTGAGCTTGGGTTCCACGTGGTGTAGTGCCATAAAGATGTGAATAATCAACTCCATCCTCCAGCTTGTGGCAAATTTCAGCAAATACTGATTTTTTTCTGGAAATTAATATTCGCAGGGAACTCTCTTAGGAGCTGCAGACTTATGCTCGACAGGAATGTCAATGTTTGTAGGAAATCAAAGTTTTCTATCATAAATCTGGTTGTTGACTTGAGTAGGAGTTCTCAATATGTGAAATGTCACCTTAATTAATTAACCTGACTCTCTCAGAAGTGATGAGACGGAGATGATTGGGTGTGTTTGGATGGAGTGTGTGTGTGAGAAGGGGAACTGGGGTGGGGCTGTGTGTGGGGTGTGTGGGGGGCTCTCGTGGGGGCACTGATGGCAGTGCTGAGCCAGGAGTGCATCTGAGGCGTGTTGGGCACCTCGGGGCCCCTCTGCAACACTGCCAGTGATTAAAGCCCCAAAAAGCCACCAGGAGAGCCCCAGGCAGCCCAAAGGTCTCCAGGGTCACCAGTGATCCTCTGCTCTGATCTCAGAGAGTCGGGGAGCTGTGAAGCTGGTCCTGAGAGAATTCTCTGCTAAAATGCTCTCCTTCAGGGAGGCTGAGAAGGGAGTTGAATGCTGGAGCATTTCTAGGAAGGGAGAAATCTGTCAGCAGTAAGAATTTAAAAGGTTGATTCTCTAAATATACTTAAATTTGTATTTAAAACTGTTACTTCTTGATTAAAGTTTGGATTCCCACTCTAAAAGGGAGGTGAGGGCTCTGAATTTAACTCGGGGAGGAGCTGCTGGGGAAGAGATCTGTTCTTGATTTGCCTGGGAGGAGAGTCCTGGGCTTGTGGACAGAATGAGTATAAAGAGCCACAAACTTCAGAGTATTGTTAAAAATCAAGTGTTTAAAAGTGTTTAATTCAGTGATTAGTGCTGCATTTTCCTGAAGCTAAGTAGAGACGTCAGGAAGGAGGTGCAGAGCTGTTTCCTGCACTGTCATGTCTCAAGACAGGATTCTGTCAGGCCATCAGCTAATTGGCAGTGCTGGCAGCAACCAGAAGTGCTCATTTGGCATTTTTCTGTCTCCAAATAATTTCTCCTTTTAATTTGAAGTATTTGGTTGAAGCTGGTGACAGTGAAAGGCTGAGGAGTCTTGTGGAGTCTCCTGAGGTGAGATTGTCCCTTTGGTTTGTCTCTGCCAGAATTCAGCTCTGCACAATCAGCTGAAGGAGTGCTTGGTTGTGTTTAAGGCTGGCCAGTTGCAGTGGACAGAAATGATGTAGAATCCTTCTGTGAGTTAATTCCTGATGCTTTATTTTGCAGGAAGCAGTGTGGTTCCTATCTAACATCACTGCAGGAAACCAGCAGCAAGTTCAGGCAGTGATAGATGCAAACCTTGTTCCAATGATAATCCATCTTCTAGATAAGGTCAGATCCCAGGGATTGGTGGTGGGCTTCAAATCCTGCATTCCTTTCCAGCTCTTGGTGTCTCTTAAAAAGTGACTTCCCAAACCATTCTGTGCTGCCAAGGATCTGCTGTGGCAGAAGCCCTGCTTGTGGGGAGGGGATGAACGCAGAGGGACTCAAACAGGACAGGATTTATTTGTTACTCTCACACAAAACTGCTACAGTGACACCTTGCAGCTTTTGTGGGAATCCTGCCTGGCACAAAGCCTGGGGTGACTCTTCCTGTCTCTGGTTGTGCTTCCAGGGGGATTTTGGGACTCAGAAAGAAGCTGCTTGGGCAATAAGCAACTTAACAATCAGTGGGAGAAAAGACCAGGTGAGTCCAGCTCTGGGAAAAGCTCCATTTCCTCTCTGGGGAGGTGCTGGGGTTGGTTATGGGTGTCTGCTCCTCTCTGATCAGTAACTTTCCCTTCTCCTCGTGGGATTTGAGTGACCTCCCCTTGTTTTGGGGTGACCTGAGCTCAGGAGCATCCCTGGGGTTTGTTGGGAGCTCTGTTGGGATGAGCGACTTCAGTCAGGCTCTGATGGGATTCTCCAGCATTCCACATTTCTTTTTACTTTATTTCCCACACCATGAGGATGTGATAATTAAAAGGACAGTAAGCAATGAGTACACAAGTCCCTTGTAAGCCCAGAGTAGGAGATTTGTGGCTGGCTTGGGGTGGTGCTGTCACTCTTCAGAGGCAAGGTTAAAACTCCTTATGTACACTGAAAAATTCACAGTATTTGCTCCCTGGGTGTTGCAGATCTCAGATCTGTTTGTAGTTTAGTAGCCAAATGTTGCCTTTGGAGGTGCCAGAAGGGGTTGCTGGGGTGGCCACCGCAGAGTCTCTGGGCTGGGGGTGACTTTGAGGTTTGGGCTGGCTGGGGTGTGTTTGTGTGCTGCTGCCATGTTCCCCTGTAACTCCTGCTGTTCCCCCCTCAGGTGGCTTACTTAATTCAACAAAATGTAATTCCTCCCTTCTGCAATCTGCTGACAGTAAAAGATGCACAAGTTGTGCAAGTGGTTCTGGATGGACTAAGTAATATATTAAAAATGGCTGAAGAGGAAGCAGAAACCATAGCCAATCTTATAGAAGAGTGTGGAGGTAGGAGGAGCAAGATTTTAAATAACTTTTCCAGGGATTGCTTCTTTGGCATCCTGCTTGGGATGGATGGGTTTGTTGTTGGCACAGATATTTTAAGCAAACATGTTTTAAAGCACCCTTTTAATTCCTATCAGATGAATACCCACAGCTTTTTTTAAGTTTATGATCAAATAAAATGTGGAGGAGCAGTAAATAGCAGTAAAGTTCATGAGCTGCTAATTTTGTAGCAGTCTGCATATTAGACAAATTACTCTAATTAACAGAAAGTAAATTAATCAATGTGGGGGGGATGTGCTTACCTTAATCGTGCACAAGTCAAGTCCAGGTGAACTTGGAAGAAATAATTCTACATACAGTGGTTGTGAACATGAAATAACATAAATTCCCTCATGGTTTTGAGACTTTCTCCATGTTGGTTGTGGTTTAAGTTGACTGAAACTTTTCAGGGACGAAAGAACATAGATATTAAACATGGACACAGGTAAAAAACTGTGGGATTTGTTAACATGGAGTAGAAAAATCTTTAAAATGCCAAATCTTGAGGGAGGGCAGAAAGGTTGAGTGATGGCTGGGAGGGGGAAGGAGGTGTTTGTGCCAAAACTCTGCTTGTCAGAGCTTCAGAAAGATTTCTATGTGCTCAGCTTCTGTGTTCATCTGTATAAAATATATATAAATATTCCAGCTGGGTTTAACAGCATTTTATTCATAACCAGATCATTCATAACTATTCCCAGACGTATTTTTAATTTCTTTGTTGGAAGTTGTTTGGCCTGAATTTGGTGTTCTGAGATCTCTTTGTGTGTTGGTTGCAGGCCTGGAGAAAATTGAACAGCTACAAAACCATGAAAATGAAGACATCTACAAACTGGCTTATGAGATCATTGACCAGTTCTTCTCCTCAGATGATGTGAGTGTGCAGTTCCCTGCTCACTGTTTTTATTTACAAATAATTGTTTTCATTACAAATCTGCTGCAGGAGGAGCAGGAGCCCCAGGGCTGCCCTGTGGCACTTGAGGAATGAGCCCTGGTGTGAACCTCCTGCTCCTCTGCTGAAGCCTCTAAAGAAGATCTGAGGCCTAATTTAAGCCTCATCTCCAGGGATTAACATCCCAGGCTGTGAATAGTTCCCTGAACTCTCATCTGACATTTCCCATTTGATAAGCTCCCTGCTGGCTCCAGGCTGAGGCTGCTGCTGGAGAAACAAAGTGTTGGAGAGTTTGAATCATTGCAGGGTGGGATGTGCTGATCAGGGACGTTGTTCTGGTTCAGCCGTGGCACAGAAATCAAAGGGAGGTTGGGCTGTGAGCATTTCCAGTCAGGAAGTTGAGCAGGGAGGGGAAGGGCAGCCCTGGCAGTCTGTGCCATGCAGGGAGGGCTCCCTGCTGGCTGCAAAGCTGCAGAAATGGCTGAGTTCAGCTGCTTTTGTGCCTCTTTTCACTTGGAAGGTTATTTTGTGCTGGAGTTTCACTTTGATGTGAACAGCAAGATCCAAGTCTTGTTTAGCAACTCAACTTTGGCATTTACAGCCGGACTTGGAATTTAATCCAGTGTCAGATTGGGAACCACAATTTGGGCTTAGTCCTCCCTTGGTTTAGTGCTGCTGGTCTCCTAAGAGCTGAGAGAGTTTCTGAGACTGACAGAAAGTTTCTGAGATGGACAGAAGGTTTTCCAGGAGAGAAAATTCTGTCAACAAAAGGGTTTGGGGTGCCATGTAGCACTCCTTGACAAATACAAGCTAAAACATTTTGGGTTTAAATCACTTCTTTTTGGTGCTCTCACTAAATTCGGGGAGGGATGGCAGGACTGGATGCAAGGAGGTGAAGAGGAAGCTGCTTTTGGGATTGTCCAGCTCCTGGGCAGGGAGGATTTGCTGCGTCCCTGCTCACGATGTTCCCGTTGCATTCCAGATTGATGAAGATCCAAGCCTTGTTCCGGAAGCGATCCAAGGCGGAACATTTGGTTTCAATTCATCTGCCAACGTACCAGCAGAAGGGTTCCAGTTTTAGAGTGGTATTTTGGAAGTTTAGGTACAATGCAGCACTGAATAAAAAAAAAAAAAAAGGTTTGATCCATCAATCTTGGCTCATGGGATCCGCTGCTGCATTAAATCGGGAAAGTCAAACGTGAAGATTTCATTTGGAATCCCAGAAAAGCCCAAATGAAGTCGGGATGGCGAGTGGGTGCGAGTGAGAATGAGTGGCAAAATGCAACGACAAACTTCACACCGAATGCTTCTTTAGATTGTTCCAAGCAAAAGGGCTACAGGTGACAGATTTCAGTGCCTGAGGAGGAGCCTCCGCAGCGGGGGGAGCAGCGGGGCCGGGCCAGCCTGCCCTGCAGGAGCCAGCCTGCCCTGCACGGCCACTGGAGTGAGTGTCTGCCCCGTGCCAGCCCTGCCCTGCCGTGCCAGGCCGTGCCAGGCCGTGCCAGGCGTGCGAGAGGAGAGTGCCTGTGAGTGTCTGTGAGCGTGCGAGCTTGAGTCGCCTCGGGGCCGAGAGCCCAACACCACCCAATGAGTTCACAAGTGTCGACCTACACTGGACACACCGAGACCGGTTTAGCAGCAGACTCTGGTTTACTCCTGCAGCCTGTGTTTTCCTCTTTTTTCTTTTGTTTTTTTGGTTTTATTTTATTTTATTTTTTTTCTTTTCAGTTCTTTTTAATTTCTTTTCCTGTTACGGCTTCTTAGTTGTTTGTAAAGTCAGAATTTCAGGAAGGCTTCCCTGTGCATTTGCACCAGATGAATGTTTGATGTTATGAAAAGCTTTTCCATATCATCAAAACTAATTTGTAGATTTTTTGCATGGAAAAACAAACAAACAAAAAAAAAAAATCCTCCATTTCCCTTCAAACTAGACTGTGTTGCAGTACACAAGTTGCCATAATAGTAGAAAGCAGTATAAAATGTAATAAAACCTCATCCTTTTCATTTTCAAAGATAACATGAAGACCTTTGCATGTGGTAATCTCCAGCATAGTTCATTTTTAGATTTCGTTGAGTCCTGTAACCAAAATGTTTCTGTTGTGGTAGGATACCGTGCTGTGTTTCAATGTTACTTGTTTTCAAACTTTGTTTTCTATGAAAATGATATGGAAACGTCTAAAAATGAAATTTGGTGCATATGTACTGCTGAATAAAGAGCGAAAAAAAGAGGTGTGAATAGATGTACAAATCAAGTCATGGTTTGAACACCTTTAATATGCCTAATCCAATTGTTTTAGACTCTTTTTATCTTAGATGTAGGCAGCCATGAACAATCTATTTTGAGCCACTTTAGAGAGAAAAAAAAAAAGAAAAAAAAACTTTGTATTTTTAAAACTTGCACAAAAAGGATGCAAGTGTTTTTATAATTGGAGGAATGCCTCAGTTTTGAGGTGGTGCACACTAAATTCAAGGTGATGTTACAAATTTGTACCAAGTGAACTCTTGATAAGGTGGCTCATTGTAGGAAATGCTGTGCCTTCCCCTTTGAGCACAAGTGTTGCATGAACAACAGTTTGCTATAATAAACCATCCCAGGTTAGCCACCATTAGCATCTATATCTACCTTGTGTTTTCAAATCAGCTGGTAATTCTGAAACACTGTAGAATGGATAAAGATTATTTTGTGATCATAACTCTTTGTTGGACTAGAGTATTTTTGCAGCATTCCTTGTCATCAGAAACATGGTTAAAAGTTTAAAACTAGAAGCAGCGGCAAACTAGCTTGTGAATTTATCCAAGTAGAGTGCAGGCTAGGCTGTCTTGGGGAAATAAACATTAAAACTTGCAACTCTGCTGCTCTGCCTGTTTCTTTATGCAATATTCACATTTTTCAGCGTGAAACACAGAGATTTTTTTGAAGAAAGTGACTTTTAAATTCTTTGGGTTAAAGTTTTTACCTGTTAAATGTTCGTGTGGTGCAGGCTGGAAGCATGGAGGCATTGTTAAAAAAAATAACAATTTTACTTCACTTTTACTTAAGTACCTCTGTATATTCACCGAATAAATCAGGGCTGATTTCATGGGAAACGTAGGGAATCCATGGAGGAGGGAAGTGAAATCTTTTTTCTGGAAGTTGCAAGGAAAATTCTAAGCAGTAAATTACAATTTTCACCCTCAAACACCTTTGTGAGGGATGTTCCATAGAAAATCGCTGCTTTGCAAACATTTCTTGTTGGGGTAAGAGAAGAACACGTATTTGTGGCAACTTCTGTTTTCCTAAGAACAAAATACCCCCAAAACTCTGCATTTAATGCCAAAAAATGCCTTTTTGGGCACTTCCTGGCTGGAATATAACCCTGAAAAATTCCCTTGAGCTGCTGATGTTTCAGCTTTTTCCCTTTTTTTATGGATTTGGGGGTTGGGTGAATTTTTTAACAGGGAAAATTCTCTTCCCCTCCTTCACAGCAGCTCCTGTCACTATTTCAGCAAAACGCAGGAATCTGAAATATTCCAGAATATCCACAGGGTGGCACCAGCAGCAAAGCTGGAGCTGCTTTTTTGATGGTTTTTTCCCAAAATTTGCATTTTGAGGTGATGCAGAGGGAGATTTGTTGGGGAATCCTGGGGTAGAAATGAGAATTAACTTGGGAATTGCCTCTGGGAATGCTGAGCACTGAGTTTGGATGTCTTATCTATATTTATAATATGTGTTTTAAAATACATATTATGAATGTACTTTGGAGTAGAAATATCCTGTAATTTATTATGCATTAGTAAATATTATCCTATATTTTGGAGTAGAAAATTATCTTTTCATCTGAGTTTAGTATAACGAATTAAAAGAAATATTTAAAATATTAAAAGGGCAAAAATGCATCCACAAATCAGCTGTGCCGGGTGGGAATTTTTATTTTAAGGGAAAAAAAAAAATCAAACATTTACCCTGGAATTTTAGGATCTGGGAAGAAGAATAAGCTGAGAGGAAAGGGATTTCTTCAGAGAAGTTTTTATCCTTTCTCTGCTGGAAGTGGAATTTTCCCTGCACAGAGCTCATCCCATCTTCCTTCCCAGGAAATGGTGAATTTCTGCTTTGGGAGTGGGACAGGCTGGTAAAAATCCCAATTTCTGCACAGAAAATGAACAAATTAAAAGGATTTCAAGGCAGACGAAACCCTGGCGGAGTCACTTCCTGACTTTGGGGATTTTTTGCCACTTTGGGCTGTGAATTTTCCCTGAGTTTTGTGTGTCCCCAACCTCGGCAGGAGCGCTGCTGCTCCTGGGGCTGGAAGCGATTAAAGAATTCTGCATCTGGAGCAAATCGTGCTGAGAGGAAACTCAGCAGCTGCAAACGTGTCAAGTTTACAAATCACTCAGGGTAACTTGTAGCTACTGCTCCAGTGAAACTCAGGGGGCTCAGAAAGCACTGGGAAATTCATATTATAAAATTAATATCCATAAAAAGTGGCTGGAAGCTTCATTTCCCTCAAATAATTCCTATTTTTGCCAGTGGATCCATTATAATTCCTGTATTTACCTGTTGGTTTGGTGTGCTCCAAAGCTGAGGAAGAATTTTCCTTAAGTTGTCATTAAAATGTCAATACTTTCAATTTTAAATTTCTATAAAGCACTAAAAGCTGCTCTTACTAGAAAAGGAGCAATTTTGGGAAACTTGGAATGCCAATTATTAAATGTGTTCCAGGAGTTTTGGAATTTGATGGAAAGGCAGGTGAGGGTCAGACTTCCTATCAGCAATGCCGACCATGGGTTTAATCACTGATTTAATTCCTGATTTAATTTAAAGCCACTTTGCACTTGAAATGCTTCTTCTTAAATCTTAATTTCAGTACATCAAATACATGAAAACCAACATATGTTCTTACTCTCAATATTGTGAATTATTGTCAAAAGCTCCCCCTTATTTCCTGCTCCTGTAGTTTCCCCTTATGGTTTTCCTGATGTGTTGGGTAATTTGTGATTTGAGTTTGAGGGTTTTTATTCCTTGAAACGTAATTCTGGCTTTTTCTCAGATATTTGTATAATATTCTCTACACGGTGGTTTTAAGACACGTTTGGGTAAGTTTGGAATGATTTACATCACAACATTAAACGAGTTTCATTTCTCTTTCAAATTCACTTTGTAACAGCTGAGAGCAACTTCTGTGAACTGTGAATTAATAGAGAATAATGTGGAATATAAGAAAATCCTTCACTGGGCGCTCCTCTGGGCCTGCCCACCCGCCCAGGGCGGAATTCCCTCCCCAAATCCCACCCAGCCCTGCCCCGTGCCCTGGCACGACCTAAAACCCTCTCGGCAAGGCCGGGACAGAGAAAGGAGCTTCAGAGAAACACAAAATCGTTTAAATTACCGCGGTCAGCAGCTGCCACAAGCGGCGGTTCCGCATCTCCCGTTTTCCGCCTTCAGGGTGAATTTTTCGCGGATTGTGGAGAGGGATGAGGTTGGGATGCGGAGCGGCGACGAACGCGCGGCTCCCCCTGCGTGTCCCGCCTGTTCCGGAGCGGGATCCCCTCCGCTGTTCCATCCCCTCCTGTCCCGGAGCGGGATCCCCTCCTTGTTCCATCCCTTCCTTGTTCCATCCCCTCCTGCCCCGGAGCGGGATCCCCTCCGCTGTTCCATCCCCTCCGCCGCTCCATCCCCTCCTGCCCCGGAGCGGGCTCAGCTCCGCGGTTCCACGCCCCGCGCCCCGCAGCGATTCCTGCCGCTGGCACCGAGGGACCCTCCCGGTGAGCACCACGCGGCTCCCGCCGGCCGAGGGAGGGACCGGCGGCGGCTCCGGCCCTGCCCTCCCTCCATCCCTCCCTCCATCCCTTCCCCCATTCCTTCCCCCATCCCTTCCCTCCTCGGCTCCGCCCGTTCCTGCCCCGCTCCCGCCATTGCCTTTGAGGGCCGCGGCCGTTACCGAGCGGGGCGGCGAGAGCGGCTCCATCGCCGGGCCGCGGAGCCCGGAGTGGCTCCATATCCGAGCAGCGGAGCCCGGAGCGCCTCCATCTCCAAGTAGCGGAGCTCGGAGTGGCTCCATATCCGGGCAGCGGAGCTCAGAGCGCCTCCATCGCCGGGCCGCGGAGCCCGGAGCGGCTCCATCGCCGAGTAGTGGAGCCCGGAGTGGCTCCATCGCCGAGTAGTGGAGCCCGGAGTGGCTCCATCGCCGAGCAGCGGAGCCCGGAGTGGCTCCATATCCGGGCAGCGGAGCTCAGAGCGGCTCCATCGCCCGGCGGAGCTCCCCGGGAGGGCCCAGGCGGTGCTGCCCCGCAGCCTGAGGGCCCGGCCCGGTGAGCGCCGCGTGGTTCCGGGTCTCGTTTCTCGTATTTCAGCTCGTTGCTGTCGCTGTGACTGAGCCGCAGGTTCCCGGTGTGGATCCCGTTCCCGGCCACTCGTGCAGGGGACAGCCGGAGCTGTGTGTGCTCCTCGCTCCGGCTCCAGTGCCCGCGGCTGGGCGGTAAAGAACAGGTAAATAAATGCATGGCCGGGAGCTTCGACAGCGTTCAAAGGGATGGAGGGTTCGTCTTGGCAATGGAACCGAAAGGTGGTAGAGCGGGATATAGAATCATAAAATGCCCCGGGGGTATTGGAAGGGACCCACAATGACCCGAATTCCTGCCCTGGTTTCTCCTGCTTTCTTGAAATTTGGATTAAAATCCCCAGCACAGGTTCCTGTTGTAAATGGCTTCATTGCAGTGATGCCTGTACCGGTCTCGAAACATCTCTGAGATGGAGGCAGAGTATGAAAGCTGAGTGAAAATTGCTGTGGATTTCTTCCAAGCCAAGGCTGGCACAGAATTCTTTCGACGTTAAAGAGCAGAGAACAGCCCTGGCTGTGCCTTGGTTTGCACTCAGCAGTGTCACAGCTGCAGAGTGCAGATGTTCCTTTTTCTGGCAGCTCTCATTCCCAGGGGGGCTTTGCCCCTGGAATGGGCTGTCACAGCCTTTACCAATGCCAAATTTACCTTTTAAATCCTCCCAGTAGCGTGGGGTGGGATTGTCCCGTGAAGCAGTTATTTACCTACACACCGATGGCTGCTGTATTTATTCCACAGCAGTGTGCGTGCTGTGGCAGATTAAACCAGCATTTCCCAGCTTCCTGCTGCTTTTTTGTGCCCCTGGAAAACTTTTCTGTTCTCTGCTGAACTCTGTGGTGTCTTCTCTGTCCTTTCTGTTGTGTTCCCAGTCTGTTTCCAATCTTTCAATGCAGTCTGCAGGCAGAAATCGGTCAGTAAATGAACATTTATGAAATCCTGGAGCAGGGCAGGCCTGGGGCTGGCTGGGGCAGGACAGCTCCGTGTGCTGGGGAGGATGTTCCTCCTGCAGCTCTGAGGGCGTTCCTGATGTTTTGTGAAGGTTTTCCTTTTCTGGTAGCAAACAGCTCCTTCTCTCACCCTTTCCATAGCGCAGGTAAGTTGGATGTGTGTTCTTTAGGAAGGAAATTTCCCTCCTGTACCAGTGTGGGAGCCCTGGGTGCTGATCCTGAGCTTTTCCTCTTTTTCCTTCCTCTCCTTCAAAGCTGGAACTCCTGCTGCCATTAATTAAACATCACAGTTGATCCTTTGGCCTCATTTCAGCTCAATTTCAGCCCAGGGGCTGAGTCAGCAGCCCAGGCTGCCCTCCCTGACCCACCCCAGCCTGGCCAGGCCGCTGAGATAAGCCAGGCTTATTTCTGTGCTGATTTAGCTGCCAAAGAAGCGGGTCTGGCTGTTCAGCTCCTGCCTTCCCTCAGCCTGAGCCCGGCTGCAGATCTCAGGTCAGACCCTGAACCACTTTGATCCTGAATGCTCTGACAATTTCTGCCTTGTAGCAAAGGCCATGGAGATGACTGAACCGATGAACGGGGAGGAAAGTGGGGCACAAAGAGAAGGAATTTTGGTACCAATTCCCCTATTTTTAGCAGAAGGAAAACCAGGATTGTAATTTATTATGAAAACAGGCTATAGCGTTACTGTTACTTGTGACTTTGCAGTGTGATTCCACCCAGCTGGGAAAGGGAACAAAGAAATGTTGAGGAGAATGGAAAGTGAAAGTAAATTTTTCAGTTTGGTGCTTAAAGCAACAGGAGTAATTCCTGGTGTGGTGTTGTCTGTGGGGGCTGCTGAGTTGGGCTTCCTGTGCCAGAGCCTTGAGAGCTTCTCAGCGTGACTGTTTAGTGAACTTATGACTATTTCATGTTACAAAAGTAACGTTTGAAACAAGTGGGAGAGAAAAAAAAAATCTGTACTTCTGTTTCCATTGAAAACATTACTGCTGGAGGGAGAAAATTTCCATAGCTCTGAGGTTGTTCAGAAATTCTAGTTGTGGCTTTTCCCACTGTAAGCAATATCTAGTGGCAGATTGCTGCTTTTCCTGGGTTTTTAAGGGTTGGCTATGGATGATTTGGATACAGTTGGGTGAAAGCTCTGAGTGCAGCTCAGGATTTGCTGTGCTCCTTGAAGCGTTGCTCACTTCCAGTCTTTTTTTCCCCCAGGTGCTGAGGCAGGGAATTCCTGGTTAGGAGATGTGCTGCTGTGAGCAGAGCTCAATCCCCGCTGCCTGTTGTGTTTGGGGTGTGTGTGTGTGGATATGCTCAGTTCAGAGAGAAAAAAGGAAAGATTCCTGCCAGGCTAAGCCAAGAGGAAATGTAAACAATCGATTATCCTGGGATAAAGTCCAAGAGGAATGTAAACAATCGATTATCCTGCTTTCTGTTCATATTGTTTATAGGGATGTTCTACCCCACTGACCAAAGTCCAGTGTAGCAACCAGGCGAAATGTTTTTAAGACCAGTGGAATCAATGTTCACGATGTTCTCTATAGAAGTGCTTTGGAATAAAAAGTGTTTCTTTTGCCTCGTGCGAGTCCTTTCGCCGCCACGTGTGTGTGTGTGTGTGTCCCGCAGGCCATGGAGCGGCTGGAGGAGGAGCTGACGTGTCCCATCTGCTGCGACACCTTCTCGGAGCCGCAGGTGCTGCCGTGCTCGCACACCTTCTGCGGGCCGTGCCTGCGCGGGCTGCTGCGGCCGGGCGCGGGTCTCAGCTGCCCCAGCTGCCGGGCCCCGCTGCCCGTGCCCGCCGCCATCGAGGCGCTGCCCATCAACTTCGCCCTCAAGGCCGTGATCGAGAAGTGCCAGCAGGAGGAGCGGGTTGGGACTGGCACCGGCACCGGGACGTGCAGGGCGCACCCGCAGCAGCCGCTCAACATTTACTGCCTGCAGGACCGGCGGTTGGTGTGCGGCCAGTGCGTCACCGTCGGCAAACACCGCGGGCACAGCATCGACGACCTCCAGAGCGCCTACAGGAAAGCCAGGGAGGCTTCGGGGCAGCTCCTGGGGCAGCTGGCGGATCCGGCCTGCTCCAAGGTGTTCTTGTGCTCCGAGAAGCTGCTGCAGCAGAAGGACCAGTGCCAGAGCGCCCTGCAGAGTGACAGGGAAGCTGTGCTCAAGTATTTTCAGGAACTTGGCGATATCTTGGAGCTCAAAAAAACAGCTCTGCTGAGTGCGCTGAATGAACTCGACAGCCACATTTTGGAGAAATACGATCCCCTCATTGAGGAGGTGGAAAAGCTGAAGTTGGAAGAGATAGAGCTAAAGGAGCTGCACTGCGATCTTCTGATGGAAGAGTCCCCACTGCTTTTCCTGGAGAAGATGAACGAGCTGCAGCTGCGGCTCCACGCCCTCAGGCTGAGGCAACTCCCAGAGCCTGAACCTGTGGAGATCCATCCTAGGATGCAGACGGTGCTGCAGTACATGTGGTCTGCAACTGCATTAGGGCAGGTGCACAGGATCCCCACGCCAAAGCTCACCCTGGCTCACGAAAGCCGTGGAAATCTAACAGCATTATCTGCTCTTCCTCCTCTTATACTGATGCTGACTTCACTTCTGTTGTTATCCCTCAAGGACCCAAATGGTTTTCTGCTGCTGCTGATTTCATTTGTGTTATGGCACCAGGTAATCTCACCTGGCACCATCCCAGCTCCTCTGGTGCAACTCCGGGAATTCCTGCTGCGCATTTATCAGCGTTTCTGCACCTACCTGCAGGCCCCAGTGCAGGAGCTGACTTACTAGATTGAAAACCTCATGCAGCAATCCAGCATTATTTCAGTTTCTACTTAAAAGTTGTATTGTTAAAGCTCTACACTTGTTCTATTTCTGTATCCTCCCTTTTCTGTATTGCATGGATTTCCTCTGAACTACAGTTCTGATCCACTTCAGGTGAGGAGAGGCGAGTTTTGCCTTGACCCACAGCTGCAGAATTTCTGTCCTTAACGCCCTGGAATTCTCTGCCAAAGATCAGGTGCACTGCTGAGCTTCTCCTGTAACTCTTGGCACTTTTGCATTATGTAGTAAATTACACTGATTCCTTAAATTGTGTCTGTGTCTTTGGTGCTGCCCCTGCCCAACCTGATGCATTCTTATTTTCAATTTACATTAACCTCCCTTTCCTCAATTTTTTTGAATGGCATTCAAAAACTGGAATTTATTGATGCTGGGTTTATATTAACAAGATCAAATTTTTATAACATTTATTTAGAATTTATAAACAAAACAAAGTCTATGATACAAAATGAAATCAGACAAATTATTAGACAGCAGCCATGGGGCTGGAAGTTGCTTCCTCCCTATGTTTGGCTACACTGCCCGAAGGGAGACCAAGTTCCTCCAGTCCTTTCAGAGGCAGGATTTTGGGGTTGGTGGCCACATTTTTGGTGGTGTTCTTGATTTTATAAATCCCAATTAATCTGTCTGCAATCTCAAACATGTTGTTCCGCAGGGAGATGATGATGAACTGGGCGTTTTTGGTTTGTTCCTGGAACAGAAGTGATTTGTGTTAGTGCCTAGCATTCCCAAAATCCCCTCTTATCCTGGTGTGGCACACAAAGCCAAGTTTAAAACTGCAGCTGCAGGCAAGGAACTTCCAAGTGTTTCCCTAATCTGAAGTAGCTGCTCCTAATCTTTGTCACCTGCTTCCAAAACTGCAGTTAATAATAACTCTGAATATTCAATGTTTAATTACCTGAACTGGAGCCGTGTAAGGGGTTTGCTTTGATTAAATGTGCCGAGGGCAGAAATTTTAAAGGCATGAAAGAAATTAATTACTACTAATTAATTAAGATATAGATAAAAGACACTGATGGGAATGACATGGAAGTATAAATCCAAGGAACCTCGGGAAATCACGAGCCTGGATCCATGGAGACATCAGTAACAGCTAAACTTGTGAATTCTGACAGCAGTTGATTGTTTTGGGGGAAGTCTGTGTGCGCCAGAGGGAGCAGTAAAACTGCAGCAGCCCAGACCTTAAATCTGCCAGGAATTGTGTGACCACTTTGTCTCTTCTAGAGGAGGGGGAGCCCCTCAGGAGGATGAGGCATGAGGAACTTACGTAGATGTACAATGATACGATGGAGACGTTCTTGAAGTCAAGGGCGGCGTCGATCTCGTCCATGAAATACAGGGGGGTGGGTTTGTAGTGGTGCAGGGCAAACACCAGGGCCAGGGAGCTCAGGGTCTTCTCTCCTCCTGACAGGTTGAAGATTTTCTTCCAGCTTTTCTTGGGAGGTCGGACGCTGGAACAGAGCAAGGTTGGGTCTGTCAGGAATGCTGATCTCTGCCTAGCTCAGCTGGGTAACACCGGGCTGTTCCTCGCTGCCTTGCCCAGCTGAACTCCCAGTTCATGGATTTATCCTGGGAGCATTCCTGACAGAACACTGCCATCATTCCCTGGGCAGAATTAAGTGACCTGGGAATTAAGAAGTGCTGGGGAATCAGTTCAGAGCTTTCCAACTGCTTTAGTTCCTGATTTCTCCAAGAGAAATAAATTAATCTGAGAGCTAAAATGTGGTTTGTCACTATTTGCCCACATTGTGCCTGCCTTGGTTCACTGATGGTCAATGAGCATTTGCTTTAAAAACAGGTTGAAAGAGGACTATGATTAAAAATTAATAAAGTATTTTGAAAACCTGAACACGATTCCCTCTGAGAAGGGATCCAGACTGTCCACGAGCTCCAGCTCGGCATCCCCTCCCAGTGTGAGCATCTGGTAGTTCTCCTTCAGCTTGTTGGTGATGACATTAAATCCTGCCATGAATTCATTCAGCCTCTGTTTCCTCAGCTCTTCATAGGCCTCTCTGAATTTGTCCCTCTCACTGGTGATGTTGTCCAATTCTTCCACGTGCTTCAGGTACAGATCTTCCTGCAGGGGAAAACAACCAAGGTCAAGGGCACTTGGAGCAGCTGCCTCCTCAGTTTAGTGTTTACATCACTTCTCCTACCATTTGAACATTCCTTTTCCCAGCTTGGCTAACAGCCCTGAAACAAAACCCCCAAATTGTCTCTCTTTTCCCATCTCTGCTGCTGAGGGAAAACATAAAAACCAAACGTGTGTCAAAATAAAAAAGACTTCATCCGCTGAATGGTTCACTATTAGTGATGTGAGGAGGGCAAAATCTGAGTACTCTGTGTCTGCCTTGCCTGTGAAGACTTGAGTCTGTTCAATAAACATTCCCAGGAGAATCACAGAATTGTTTAGGTTGGAAAAGATTTCTAGATCACCCAGGAAGTCGCTGTCACCTGGTATTGATGGTGTGGGACACAAAAGGCACATGGAGGCTCCTAGAAACAACGAGCTGCTAACAACAGGAACAGGCAAATTCCAGGCTTCCAAAAGGAGGGAGGGAGGGGGATCGGGGTTCTGGAATGCCCGGGGCTGGGCCGTACCCCGGGGCTGTACCTTGCTCTTGTACTCGGCGATGGCGCCCAGGTTGGGGTGGAGCTGGTGGCGCTGTGCCTCCAGCAGCGCGATTCTCTTGCTGAGCACGTCGGGCTCCTGCAGCGCCTCCAGCTCCTCCTGGCTCAGCACCTGCAGCTCCTCGGGGGCCTTGCCCTCGATGTCGTGCAGGGATAACCTGGAGATCTGCAATGCAAACACAGCGCCTGGCAAGCTTTAGCAAACACGTGGAGCTGTTTCTAACAGGAGCTTTTTCTGGGTTAGTACAGGGAAGCTTCTGATCTCCAAACACTCCAAGATTCTTCCCACAAGTCCCTTTAAAAATAGGATGTGAAAAAGAGAATAAATTCCCTGTGTCCTATTATCCTGGTCCTGCATACACAGCAATAAGCTGGGGTCTGAAGAGGAATTTTCTCCCAAGTCCTCTGTTTTCTAAGAGGATGTTGATGGTTCATCCTGTGAGATCCACAGAGCAGCTGTGGCTGCCCCTGGATCCCTGGCAGTGCCCAAGGCCAGGACAGGGCTTGGAGCAACCTGGGATAGTGGAAGGTGCCCCTGAATTTAAAATACACCTTTAAGCTCTCTCCCAACCCAAACCATTCCACAATTCCCTGACATAAGTTTTAGGAACTAAACCATTCCCTACCTCTTTCTGCCAGTATTTAACCTTTCCCTGGTGGGTGGAAATGTGGCTGTCAACTTGTTCAATTTTCAGCTTGATGCTCAGAGCCTCACTCTGAAGGGCATGTTCAGCATCCCGAATAGTTTTCATCTCCTGGACTAACTTCTTCTGCTCCTCCTGCACTGCTGGCAAGGCTTCCTGAATAGAAAAAATGGCAAATGCCCCCAGAAAGAGCATTAATCAATCACCCACAAAAATGCTGCCCCTTTTTTGGGTGAAAAGTCTGTTTTCACTTAATTTACTCATGGCTATGGATGGAAACAAATAAATATTCTTGGATTTATGACTGATCCCCTGAATTCTGCAATGACTGAGAAAATGCTGCAGAGTTTGTATTTCCATACCAGATCTGAATCAAACGGGTCCTAAACTCATTTTTAGCTAATTAAAGACATCAAATCTTAGATTTATTTGAAAGCATTTCAGCCATCTTGGTTTTCCCTCTCTCACAGAAATCTAGATGTGAAAATCCCACATAAGTGGAAAAATTTATGTTTAAGCGACTTTTAAACCCAGCAATTTCTTTGGGGAGACCTGTTGTAAGTTTTCTCCTAAACTGACTCAGGATAAATTTCCAGGTGAGCATAAAAAATAAAAATACACCATTGCCACGGCCTGGCTGCTCTGCAGAGAGAATGGGGTATCAGTGGATACAGGGAGGATTTAACTCCTCTCCCTGGTTTCCCTGGAGCCCAAAGTGGTCCCAGGACTCACCTCAGCCTGCTTGCACTCGTTCATCACCTCGGTGGCTTTTTCCTCCAGCGTTGTCAGCTCTGCTGTCAAGTTCTTCATTTCCTTCTCGTTTTCTTCTATCTCCTTCTGCGTGCGCTGCAGAGCCTCCTCAGATTTCTTCAGGTTCCTGCCCAGGGACAGGGAGCTTTGTGCACCTCACAGCAAATAAACCAGGAGCACAATCTCACTGGCAACAAGGAGGAAGTGCTGGTTTAGGCACCAGCTCCCACACTCCAGAGGGATCCAAGGAAAATAAAGTTGTCTTCCTCAGCAGCCAGACCTCACTAAATGACTTCATTTCTTCTTTCAGAGTTTGGAATCTCTATGGAGTGGTGAGCTCCCATAAAAAATAGATCCCATTTTATTTCCTGACAGAGCTCCTAATAAAACCGGTCCCTTCAGATTTGAACTGCTCCAGCACATCCAGCCCAGTGCTATTTTGGACTTTCTCCTAATATTTCAGTTTAGGTAATATTTAAGAAATAATTCAGGCAAATACTAGAGAAATGCTGACTAAATGTGACTTTTAAACTATTAGAAACTACACAATTTGACTTCCCTTTCCCTCCCTGAGCCCCACTTAGCACAAACACTGAGTGCTCCAGCCTGGGGCTCCCTGTGCTGTACCTGTCTGCACTCTTGGCTGCCACCTGAGCCTTGGTGATGGCTGAGGAACATTCATCAATTTCCTTGTCGATCTTATCAATTTTGTCCTGCTGAGCCTTCAGCTTCTGGTTGTTGGTGTCCATGATGAGCTGGTGCAGCCGTTTCACCTCCTCCTCCAGCTTCCTGGCCTGCTCAGCCAAACGGTCATAATCTGTGTGTGGAAAAGCAGAGTCAGGGGCCCTGTGCCAGCCTGGCACTGCTCATGGGCACCAGGATTGAAGGGATACAGTCACGGAAGTGATTTCAGATGGAAGCTCTGCTCTGCTCCTCTACTGAGAAGTGCACATATTCCCCATGTTGTGACAAATTATCACAGTTTAACCGTGACAAACAAAATCCACCCACTTCTTTCTGCCACTGCTCCACCAAAGCTCTCCTGCCACAAAACCCACTCAACATGGATTAGTTAATGTACACAGAGTACTCAAATACGTGAGGTGGTGCGTTAGACGTTACTCCAAGCTCATTGTTTGCATTTAATTAATGGGAAGATGCTCAAAAGGTAAATATCAAGAACTGGCCACGAGCACTTCCCAGGAGTTGGTGTGAATGTCTGGTT